CGTAATTACCGGATAAGTCTGGAATATTCCTATACAAATCCCACTATCGCGCGCGTAGAAAATTCCAGAGCGCCAAAGGCGACGTCATTTCTGGAGCGTTTCCGTTACAGTATTTAGACTTCCATTAATAACTGAAATCTGAAAATTTGCATACCAAGATAGGTTTTCAAGATCTATTGAAAGAAAATATTTTCATGATTGTTTCACTTCCGGTTTAACCGGATGCGGATAGCAACTTTCTTATTTTCAAAGCCCTTTTATTGTATTTTCGAAATGTACATGAAAATCTACGTCGTTTGATCCCACAGTTTCCTATACGCAGCATGACGTTTGACTGCTTTTCTTTTGGGCCGAGTAGGCAGTTCAATAAAAAGGAGATTGGTTTAAACTTTTTGGCATTTTTATCGGAGCGATAGTTCGGCCACAATAAGGAGTCGTCGTCGTTATTAGCTACGGCGAAAATTTTAAGAAAGCGTTTTTCGACACCCCGCTGGAATGGAAAAGGGATTGCGCCAACCCTAATTTATGAAGACATGCTATTTTTTTCACGTGCAGATTAAACAGTATGAATTGACCTTCGAAGAGTTTATGGCAATTGGCGAAGGCGACCGTGCCAGGTGAAAAAACGCACTCAGGCGAGAAGTGCGGAAGACAAAAGGGAAAGTCAAGGGGAGGACGAGCAGACACTGAGAATGGGACTAGAATGCAGGGGTTTCATTGAAAAAGGGAAAGAAATCTGAAACGGAAACCTCCAGGAGACAGTCCCGCTGCCAAAAAGAACTAAAACACTGCGCTAAGTAGAATTTAATCTACTCGATGGCTTATATTTCACCTCAATAGGGTGCCGAAGATATCCACGAGTAGATTGGAACCTGCGACTATTCCCTCAGCAAAAAAGTCACGGCAAAAAAGGAGCGAAGCAAGGGAATGTGTATCATTTGTTTCAGATGCAAGGAAGCAATTAGGAAAGGAGGAAAGCGACCGCCCAAAAAATAGGCGATTTTGAGACATTTGGGTAGATGTGGGAGCGGACTGCATTAGTGCGACGCAAGGACCTTTCCTTGAGATTTGAAGATAAAAAAGAAAAGACGTTACGGACGGCCTACTACACCGAAGAGGTAGGTATTCAGATCATACTCAAGCCTACCAGCGACGAGAAATGAGTCAACACGGAAAGTCAGACACGAAGACTACAGCAACATGAATTATATAGGTGAATGAAATTATCAAGGAAAAACAAATGAAGGTATCAAAAGGACTGGAAGAAGTAATGGACACCCTGTAAGGTGTCTGGTCCCGTGTAAAATAAAAGAGAGAAGCGATTGCGCAACTCAAAACCAAAAATTCAAAACTCCCTCCAAAACTAACCAAAATGATCGTTAAGTAACAAAGTTGTCTAGTGATAGGGGCTACGTTGTGTTGTGAAACGAAACGAGACCAACATAAATAAAACGCAGAAGTGGGAGGGAGGAGTGGTATTTAATTAAAAACGTCAATAATAAAAATAATCACATCCAAATTCAATTCAAGGTTACCCTCTCATAGTCACACGAGGATAGCTCTAGGGACTTCATTGACTGCAGGGGTGGAAAAAGAGCTGTTGAAAACCTTTCAGCATATGTAATCATTTTCTCACTTTCCCCTTTTATTTGGGCTCGAAAACCAATTGCCATTTTTCTACAAAGCAGTCATCAATTAATAATTAGTAGAAGATTATGGCAATACAAGAACAAATTCAGTAAATATTTTACTCCCCCACATAAAACAAACAAACAAAAAACAGTATCGTACAAGCCGATAACAAAAATCACAATTGAAGTAAAAAGTCGCCTTCTTGACAGTGTAAAAGATGCTGTACAGGGCGAGTCAACGATTGCGCGGAGTAACTTAATGCCTTGAAAATAAGATTTTTCGATAGAGTGCTTTTGTATAATGATATGGTTGAATATTCGCCACATTTTAAAAATATTTGGAATTATACAGGGTGCGCCCACGAAGTAGGGCGCTCAAAATGGTACTTTTTTTAAATAGACCCCCTGTATTTGAATTCTAGGTTTAATTGTACGTCTTTTTTTATTATATGCTTAATATACGAAATGTTTTAAAGATAATTCTCTTTTTAATAAAAATTGGGCATTTGCAAGCGTCAGAAAATTGCCAAAATTATTACTTAAATTTTGATTCCAGGTTTTATATCTTTTATCCTGGGTTAAGTAAAAGTCAAATGAATACATCTACTATAAAACATTAAAAAATAGCTTACAGGGTGTTTTTTTGGTAGGTCCACAGTTGCAGAACTTAAAAACTTAAAAAATCTCACTTTTTTTAAATGGAACACCCTGTATATTTTTCTGTCATCATTTAGCTCCTCCTACTAGTTTTCGAAATATCTTGGTTTTCCTGGGTTTTATACGAGGTTTTATATTTTAATCTTAAATAAGTTATATGTAATTTACATAATAGTGTGGTGGCCATGCAAAGAAGGCAATTTTTATCTATCTCGTACAAAACGAAAATCATATCGAATAATTTATTTATCAAACAATTTATTTTAAGTCAAAAAACTGGAGAATAAGTAAAAACATTTGACTACAAAGCAAATTTAATTTAACTCCTAATGTCATCCAGTCAGTGATATTAGTTTTTTTCATATTCACCTCGTTATTATGTAAATTAGAACTTATTTCTGATTAAAATTTAAAAAGTAGAAAAACCAAGATATTTCGAAAACTATCAGAGATAGGTATAGGACATTATTATCAAAAGTTGAAGGTTTTTGGAGGAGCTAAATGATGACAGAAAAATATATAGGGTGTTCCATTTAAAAAAAGTGAGATTTTTAATATGAAGTTCTGCAACTTTGGACCTACCAAAAAAACACCCTGTAAGCTATATTTTTTATAGTAGATGTATTTATTTGACTTTTACTTAACCCAGGATAAAAGATATAAAACCTGGAATCAAAATTTAAGTAATAATTTTGACAATATACTGACGCTTGCCTAACTTTTCTTCAAAATCGAATTATCTTTAAAACTGACAGCTTTTCGGATATTAACCATATAATAAAAAAGATGTATAAATTACACGTAGAATTCAAAAATGCATTCAAATACAGGGGGTTCTATTTAAAAAAATGCTGTATAATTCCAAATATTTTTAAAATGTGGAGAATTTTCAACCATATCATAATACAAAAGCACTCTATCGAAAAATATTATCTTCAAGGCATTAAGTTACTCTGCGCAATCGTTGACTCACCCTGTGCATGTAGAAAGTTCCACTCTACCTATCCAAAAACTACCATATTATGCCCTAAATTGTGTTAACACCCTGTACTAATCTACAATCTTCCCCTAATACATTATAAAGCTAACACTGATGTCCAAATATACTACTAATTAAGGTACGGGACACTCCACGTACATTAATTCAATGTTGCACTATAATAACGTAAATTTTACCAAAAACAAGTTGTAAATCAGCATATGCATGATTAAAGCGCATTATTATGGTAATGCAGGTTAGTATTTTATTAGCGAAGTTTAAAATTATCGATCTCACGAGTAATTTTGCCTGCGTTAAATAATGAATTTTATTTAATTTCAATTGACGGTACGTCTTCATTTTGTAAAACAAATCACAAAGTAAATAATAAGTTTTTGTACTGGTAGCGCTATCTAACGGTAAAATTATAGCACCTCCGAAACCCATATCGAAATTATTTTCTTCAATTATCGATCTCACAAGTAATCTAACTCAAAATAGACTAGTGCCTGCACATCTACACTATAGCAGAAAGCTTTTAGTGAAAATTTGAATTCTCTAGCTATTGTAGTTGTGGAGATCTCACGCGGACAGCGGGCCTGCCAGCAATAACGAATATAATAGCGTATTTTTTTCAAAAATGCGCTAAAAATAGCCACATAAGAATCCCTTTCAGCACTAGGTACTGGTAACTATTATTGGGTGGTTAAGATGGGAGAAGTCCTAGTCCAGTAGGCATAAAGGTGGTAAGCCAAATTTAAAGATTTAAATTTAATATCCACATAAGAAAACATGGTACGCGCAATTTACAGTAAACAACAAATCTACGTTTAAATACGGCCCTTTACAGTAGCTGAACACATTTACACAATAAGTGAGCAATTTTAAACAAAGGCCCCGCCAATTCAAATTTATGATAACAAGTATCTACCTATTAAATCAACAGCAAAATACCAGGGCAGATACCTACAGCTTATTTTTTTTAATGGTACAAAATTAAAGAAAAGAATTAACGGGCTTCTTTAAACTAACGGACATACGCCATCGCTACCTTAATAGTATCGACAAAAAGTTTCCTCCGCAGAAAACTAAACCATCTCTCTCTGTTATATTATCAAATGGAACGTAAAGTGCACGTGTGCTTTTTGTATTCTACTGCGCAAACCGTTATGAGAAAGCAAAAAGTGCGAGTGCACTTTGTTTTCGGTAAACGAAATGCGTTATTGACTTTATATTAATGAAACGTATCTTTTTCGAAGGGTCTCAGGCAAAAACAATGTTGAGCTTTTAACAAAACAAATTTGTAAACAAATCAGATCGCGACTGTATTTAGTATTCAAACATGGAAACTGCATTATTTACACGCGAAAAACAGAGCGCAAAGATGCCAACGTCCATAAAGCAAAAGTATTGACATATTGGATATAGGTTTCAATACGTAATGGTTTCTAAGGTACCAATGAGTGGGTACATTACAAACTAATATTAATTATGCATGGAAGCACGACAATACCCCTCACAAAGTAATTGAATACCTATTTTAGAACTGATGGTTATAATTGATCCCCTTCCACTGCTACAAGGTCTTAAATAATAGTAACTAAAATAGGTAATACAGTTTGAATTGATAATGGGATTTTCAATCGAAATATGTAGTCGCGTTCCGTCCAGACGATCGAAACGTTTAGTTTAGAGACGACTGACACGGAAAATGTTATTCGTTGTTCATGTTTCCGGAACGAAACTAAACAAAGTATGATTGTGGTGACATCCGCGAAAACGAAATTTAATTGTGAGGAACGAAAACGATTGGATTGTGACCAAAATAATTACGGTAAAAATATAATTTCCTTATGGAGCACGTTTGCATTTCAGTATTGGGGTTGGGCACGTTAGGGAGATGTTTATAAATTTTTCATTCGCTCGGCTATTCAAAAACGCATTTAGCATCTCTAATAACGCGTATTTTTAAGAGGAGATAGAAGTGGAAAATCAAAAATTTATCGCATTTCCGCTTCGTGGTAATACTTACAAGCCCATTGGCATGATTTTTATTGCAGTGCGATTTCATGAATAAGTAATAAAATTGGTAATGGCGTTTTTAGACGGAGAACGTGAGGTTATCTGTTCAGTTCGCAAAAATTCGCGTTTCCAAAGAAGCAGTTTAGTGTGAAGGATCATTGGTAGGTACTTCACAATGCGATTTAATAAAAATTCGCTTATCTAGAATAAGCGGTGTAATTGAAGTTTGTATTGGGGTTAATCCTGTTGTGTTCGCCGAGTGCGCAACTGCATTTTCCAAAATGCAATTTCCAGAGCGCGCTGGTAGTAAAACTATTATTTGAGAAAAACAAACTTTTAACACAGTGGGCATATTACTTTATTTACAAGCACAATTATAACGGTAAAATTGGGTTGGCGCTGTTTTTACTCAACCCCGCTGCATAAACAGCCAACTAGGTCAGGGTTGAAAAATTAAAGCCTTGAGATCTTCCACGGCGGTCAATTCGTTTAGGGTATTTGGGTACCCCGTTGCACTTACCATAGGGTTGAGCGTCACCCAGCTTCTTTAAACACTTTACTTTCACTGGGGAATAACGGTGAAGTAAAATTAACAAAAGAAATACTGGTTTATTCTGGTCAATAAAATAAAATTGAATAGTGTAACCCCACAAACACAAAAATGCTCCCTTAGCAACAATTATAGCATCAAAATTACAAGAGAGAATACACAAAAGTCTCCCAACACAATATGACAAATCTCAATGGTTGTTTCAATAAAGAAAACACAAGTGCAATCATAAGAGAAAGAAAAATCTCACTTGTGGGTAAATGTGCAGCCGAAGAGAGCTCTCCACATTGCAACTATCACCTAAAAGAAATCGAAGAGAAAGGAAATCCACACATCTAACCTGCCAACAATGATTTCTACTTGTATTCTACGATTCAATATCTAATACGATAATTAACTCGTAAACTACTTCAAAGGTACACCAACTCTTGCTAACGTGATCAAAAATCGATCATTCATCAATCGGATATCACTAATGAATTGCAAACATACAATGACGTTAATAGTTACAATTACGATCGACCCTTAAGACTCTAAAATAATTTAGATTTTATGTTTTCTTACATGTTATCGATTTCGAAATCGATAACCTGTAAGAAAACATAAAATCTAAATTATTTACCTCTACTTACCTGCTTAAATATCATAAATAGTTTCCATATGGAGCAATACATCAACAAACTCTAAAAGTACTACATGAAACACCCACCTCTAAATCCAAATAGCACCTACCTCTAATCCACGAGAGGGTATGGAAACCAATTAATAACGAGCACGAGTATCGTCAGATATTGTAAAATGTATAGTATAAATCACGAGTGAAATTCCCCTATAAATCCTCACGAGATATGTGTAATTCGAAATATAACTCAACTTCGAAGTCACAAAACTACAGATGAATCGCCAATGATAGAAAAATTTCGTATTTAATATTCAATCCATTAGCTGCTTTCGACCTGCGTGTGCCCTGCGAGTCAAATTTGTGTGAATAAATTGCATCGGTAAAACTGTCGTAATCACTCTTTCTAACCCGGACCCCAGCTGCATGGTTAACAAACCTGTTATTCAAAGCGAAGCAACCAAAGATGAATGATTTTTTTAATTTTCCTTTGGGGCTGCAAAGTAAATGGTCCCGCAACCAAAAGAATGTAAAAATGTATCAAATTTCATTTAAATGCCTCCATAAATAAAAAAAGTTAGCACTGCGCATGCGCAAAATCAAACGGTGTTAAATTTTCTTTAATTCCAAGTGGCTATGTATCAAATTTTATTGAAATGCCTCCATAAATAAGAAAGTGGGCACTGCGCATGCGCATAACGAGATTTTGAAACTGGCGTTAAATTTGGTTTTATTCCAACTGGGTATGTGTTAAATTTTGTTTAAATGCCCAATGGTTGTATTTCTTCCAAACGTCCCAATCGCTCTTTGTAGGTACTTTCCTTTGACAATTCACTCTTAAAATATAACCGATCACGACAAGGGATCGAGGAGGAAGACTATGGTTAGTATAAATTAATTCCTTTCGTTGAGACCTTTCATTAGAGTACCATGAAGGATAAAACTAGTTCTACTCCCCCCTCCCCTTCCCCTTCCACCTTGTACTTTGATAAGAAGACAGAAAGAAGGGCAGTAGTTTGTAGAAAACTGTTCCTTTCGTTGAGACCTTTAATTAGAATACAATGAGAGCTAAAATTAATTTTTAACCCTCCCCCCCCCCCCCTCAGGCCCCGTCGCTCATTGATCTCTGAAAAGAGCCGCACGGAAAAGTTATAGTTTGCACAAACCAATTTATTAGATGAAACCTTCATTAGAATACCATGAAGGGTAGAACATGTGTTTAACCTCCCCCCCCCCCCAGTATTCTAAAGTTTAACTTGACACCACTAATGGCATGCCTATGCAAAATCTGAGACGAATTGTTTGTTGTATGTAAAAGTTATGCACGTTCTACTTTCAAAAACAGCATGTAAGGAAATATTTCGTGGGGGGGAGGCGCTTTTAGACAGCGAAATTTGATGGCCGTCTGTCACACCTTCAAGGTATAGGGCTACCTACTGCAAACAATTCCAGGACTCTAGAACCATTCCCCTAGAAGTAGTTCAAAACGGGAGAAGTGGGTCCGGACGGACGGACGGACAAAACGCAAACAATTTAATTCTTAAAAAATGCGCTAAAAAGTAGATACCTGAACTACACAGTGGATCCTCCAACGGTCCATACCTTAATGCCTTAACATTCTTAGCACAGAATCCCCCCCCCCCCCTCCCTCCTATTCCTTATTAAATAGTTAACGCTTTTTTCAATATGACATCTGATAATTAAGTCAATCAGAATCGCTGTACTCCCAAAATGCAAGAAAAAAAATTGTATTTTTATAATGCAAACTGGTCATATACTTTTAAGTCATTTTTAGGTCAGTCATATTTAAAGCAAAACTCGGACTCACTGGAACCTAAGACTTCCTAAAGCTATTATCACAACAACGCGTTATACAAATCAAATTGCGCCCAATTCCTCCAATTTTTTACGAATTTTTGAAATGCCCCCAGCGATACAATTTATTGGAACATTCCACGCTGTGTACTTTTATGAAATTTAACGCCTAAACTGTTCGAACCTTCAGAATCTCAATTTCAACTTCACGTATCTCCAGAAAAAAATTCGAAAAAAATAAATCCAAATTTAGAGCTACCGTTACATATTGTGATAAATAGTATTATCACAGTTACATCTTAAGTGGGAGTGAATTGTCTACGTCCGAAGTTAGGGCGTGTGATGGTAGTGTAAAACCCAGGGTAAAATCTTTTTGGGAGATAGAGGTGAAGGTATTTTAGATCTTCTTTATCTTGCACTGCCAGTTCATCTAGGATGTGTACTAATTCATTTTCCACCTCCAAAAGGAGAGATCCCCACTAAACTTTGCACATTATTTGTTCATGAATCCGATTTAATTGTTTAAAATGGCTTAAAATATTTGTTACAGGCAATTTTTTTTAAATTATTAACGCCTTCTCCAATATAACGTCTACTAATCAAGTCAATCATTTTTTGTAAAGCCTAATCAAAAACGCTCCCAGAGCGCAAAAAACTAGCCTAGAAACCCACACACGGGAATTGTGTTGAATTGTATTTTTATATTGTGGACTGGTGATCTCAGAGCTGCGTCGTTTTTAGGTCAGCTATCTTTCTGAGATCAGATTTCCTCCTATATATCCGGTTCACTTGAGCCTAAGACTTCCTAAAGCCATTATTAGAACAACGCGCTATAGAAAACAAGAGACGCAGAAAAGGCGATCATTCATTCCACCGATTACTTACGGATTTTTACAATTCCCCCAACCAAACAATTTCCACTCTGTACAGTTTCTATGGAATGTAATGCCTAAACTGTTCAAACTTTTAAGATTCTAAAATTTCGACTTTACCTATTTCTATAAAAACTTCGAAAAAAATATATCCAAATTTAGAGCTATCATTACATAGTAAGATAAATAGTATTATTGGATAGCAGTGTAAAGCCTTTTTCGGACGTGGGAGTGAATGTAATAGTAGGATGGAAATTGGCATTCCCCTATTATGATCTTCTCCATCTTTCACTGCTGGTTCATCTACTTCATTATACAGAATGTTACGCATTGATGACCCCCCAAATCGGGTGATGGCGGAGTAAACATTTTTTTTTTCAAATAAATCGAGTGGCTAAAATGTCTTATTTGCAAGCTATCTATGATGCCGCATCACTAAATGGGCGTGAGAACTTTGGTATTTGGTGGCCTTCATTATTTTAGTTTCTGAAAATTCGAAAAAAACTCAGACTTCGATTCTGGGCCGGACCATGAAAGTATTCAGAATTTCACGAAATTTCCTGTATTCTTTAGGTATTTGAGAACTAAATTGTTGGATAGAACATTGCTACTTCGGGTAAGGTAGGACACTCACAAGTGCATAAATGCAACTAGATTCGTAGATAATTTGAAATGTGAAAAGCGAATATTCGATAAAGTGACGTAATGGTAGATCAATGGAGATAGAGCTCTGGGGGTTAGCCTGGTCGACGTAGCCGCAAGTTCATCGGAACGGTGGGCCAAGCCATTAAAGGCCTTAAATCTATCTCGTCTATCCTTTTCAAGATTAAAATTCTACTATTCTTTCGATACCATATTCTAGGATTCAGCTTTGGATCTTTTCGACCTAACATATTACGGTAACTGGCAGTGGGGTCGTCGTGTCTCCAACTTTGGTTCTGAAAACCGAGGTCCAT